GTTGTTCTGTCTGTCTGTCTGTCTGTCTGTCTGTCTGTCTGTCTGTCTGTCTGTCTGTCTGTCTGTCTTACTTTCTTCACATCACGTAATGGCCATTTTGTGTCGATGTGTTTCTCTTTACTCAAAGGAACTGTGTCTTTCCACACACATTGTAAGATCGCACAGCGGCAGATATGTACCTCTTAAAACAAAGAAAGAAAGATATAACAGAAGCGTTTTACCATCTAGCATAACGCTATTGTCAGAATAAGCATCAATGTGTATTGCTCTTTCGAGTAGGCTATATATCTATATAACATTTAAGGTCTTGTAATTAAATTCCTGCATGTGGTTAAATGATGCATCTGATGTGATGTGTACATTTGTCAGCTTCATTTCTTTTAAATTTTAATGAGAGTAATATATAATTTAAATGTGTATGTATTCCTGCATGTGTTTTTACGGTCCTGTACAGCCAAGAAAAATTACCCTCTGGGATAATAAAATCATATCTGATCTTATTTCATCTTATATTTTCTTATCTGATCTGATCTTATTATCTTATCTTATTTAATTCAAGGACACACTTCAGTGACCACCCACCATAACGCCTTGTCACCGATACACACGCTTGACATTATTGTGAATCTGAGCTCAGCAACAAAACTTTACAGCCTCCTCAACGACATTTAGTGTTCATAGCTGCGCTCTACAGGTCTGTCCCCTTTTCATCTCTTCATCTTATGTTACCTTTCAAAGTCGAGGGGAGATATAATTTTATGATTGGCGCTCATATGACCTTATGCAGTTGCGAGCGCGGTAAAACCTCTACCAAAACATAGTTTTATGTCCTCGACCAACTCTGAAACTATTTCACTTGAGACGCTGTAGTTTCAGACGGTTCACTTGGTTCTCTCAATCCATCTTTTTCGTGACTTTCTTCTTCCTTTGTAGCTTGAGTACTTGGTTTTATAGGCTCTCCAGGCTGGCTGACTAGGTGACATTTGTATCTGAAGGCCAAACTTTTACTAGGCATTGTGGTTTTGATTTTACAATGGAATGCAGACTGTTATTTTCTTATCTTTTTTATGTTTTCGTGGGTAAGGCTTCTCCAAACTTATAAACACACACACGCCTGCACACCCACACACTCACACACACATACACACACTCATACAGATAAACACACATTGCGAAGGAATCGCACCGAAGTGCTCGAAGTTCTATCGTATAGAGAAATTATATCTAGTAGGTAAAGGATCAATAGATCAGCTTGAAGAATGCAATGCAATCTGTCTGCCTCTCTACTATGGTAGAGGCTTTTTAAAATTATTTTTTTTATAAGTGTTTTACGGCGCTCACAACTGCATAAGGTCATGTGAGCGCGCGGGACACATTAAACATTTTCAGTGGGTAGGAGACTTTGAATTTTGCCCGGATTGCGGCCGAAGCCTACACTTCTCGATTTTAGACCACCAAGGGTCTTTAACGTGCGCAACTTGCACACAGGACCTCCGAAATTTTCGCCCTTGTCCAAAAAGTCTAGGTGTAGATCTTTCCTACTAGAAGATCAGGGGTGTGGCTGAAAGGCAGCAGTAAGGAAGCAAGGAGCACCGGCAGAGACGCTGCAGAAAGAGTCAGGAGCCCAGAGGAGGGGGCAAAGGAAGTGTGGGGTGGTGGCAGAAAGTAAAGACGAAAACAGACGACAGTACTTTGTTGGAGGTCAGGAACGGAGGTGAAAGGAGACAATTTTAGTGAAAAAAATGTTACCGTTGCTACCAGGATTCCTTTGAATGAGAGGCGAACACCTTAAACTCT